AACATTCTCCAATACCATAACTTCATGCCATGATTTATACAATGGTCATTGCAACTTCCAAATTACCATTTCTAACTTTAAATTTCTTCACAATTTTTAAAGATTTCAATACTAATTAAAAATTGTTTAGTTACAAAATTTAGAATAGATGTTGAATTTCTTAACTATTGAATCAAAGATCATTAGCCTTATGACTTAAGAAACAATCCATGCCAATCATGATAGAACATAAATATAATATTGTTAGGGTTTTGTAAAATCATGATAGCAAATTAACATGGTTGGACCAATCATGTTATAAGCTTAAGGAAAATGTAACAAGTCCAACTGAATTATGATTATGGGGATAAAATATTAGCAACTTATACACGCCAGCTAGTTGCATGGTAAATGGATGCATAGAGTAGTTAATTTACTAAAACTAGGAAATTAAGGTGGTCGAGGGTTTGATGGGCGACAACCAGCATTGTTTCCCGACATCTCTTTAGCAGACAATGCTAAGACACAAGGCAAAGTGGTTTGGTTATCAAGTACGGGCTCAACCATCCACAAGCTTTAAAAATACTACTGACTAATTTCATTGCTCGAAAAAGTTGAAACCGTCCGAGGATCTTATGCTCGAGATAATATTTAAGTATTATAAGAACTAATACCAATAACAAAAAGATAGTATTTTATAGCTTAAAATACAAAATATAAATTATTAAATTAAATATTTTTATATTAAAAGAAGAATTTTTTAATTTAATAATTTATATTTTATAATTTCATACAATTTAAATTATAAAATATTAAACTTTACCAAAAAAATTAAATTATGAAGCTAGCTTCATCAAGGGATTTGTCCCTCTCGTTTCTCTGTTTCTGAAAAAAGAAAAAAAAAAAAAGGATTTGTCCCTCTAATGAGTGGGACCAAAAGAAAACGGGACAAAATTAGTGAGCATTCTGTGACTAATGTTTGCATGATACATTACACAGAATGGAAGAAAGCAATCATGTTATCTTCTCATGTACATCCTTCTCTTGTCTTTTTGGGCATGCCAAAGCAAACTCACTTCCATATCATGCTTTTTGAGGACATAATCACACAAAAAAGTTTGCAATTCTAATGAAGATTGAAGCCTTGGTGTAGCAGCCGGTTAGAGTTCTTGAAATTTGAAATTTTAAAGTTTCTGTTCAAGTCTCACCATGTAATTATGAGTTGCATATTTTTTATTTGGTGACATGATCTTAACTTGTTTTAATAAAAAAAAAAAAGGGGGGTGTGAATGGAAAAAATATAGAACATAATCGAGAATTTCATCATAACATGAAATGATTTGGATTGAATAGGAAACATCCAAGTAGCTACATGCACACATATGTATTGTCATAAATTGGAATACAAATAGCGAACAAGTACGCAAAATCCTTTGGGCCAAAAAAAAGAAAAAGAAAAAAGTACATAAAATCCAAAATGTTGTCAAGTATTTATGAAAATTAAGCGTCTACGTAAAGGAAATTGATGGACCATTACGTATATGCCTAGATATGATTTATTGATTTCTAGACACATGGGCAAGCTTTTGATGACCACCATTATAAATGTTAAGGTTATTAAATTTTATAAAATATTAATTAAATTAAATTAATATTTAAAAAAATAATATTTTACAAAATTTAGTCGCGATAACATTAATAACAGTGGCAATAATCTTGCCCAATACATTCTGCTTGCCATCTAGATTTGTCTCTATATCCTATAACAAGGCCTTGGCCTAATATGGGGACACAACTAATTAGCAAAACCGAATAAAGACACAATCTCACAGTTGTAACGACACAAATCTTACATTGAAAAGTGAGCACCAATAATTGTTGTTAACGACTTGACATTGGACAACTAACTCTTATAGTACAGTTGGTTAGAGCAACGGTTTAGCAAGCAACAGGTGAGTCCCCATGGCCAAGTTAGAGCGTTCTCTTATGTAATCAACATGGTTCATCATCTTCCACCAAAAAAAACAAAAAAAAAACATGGTTCATCATCAATGGCCGAATCCAATTATTCCTCTCATAAAAGAATATGATAAGACAGCTGACGATGTACAGTATCTTTGTGTCCCGAAGTGGGTGGGGAATATATACTGCATTACTGAGGGACAAGCTAAGCTAACGTTCATATCTGCCATTGAAGCATTTTTGGACCCAACTTTGGTTATGTGATGCCTTTTCCTTTGGTCCCAGGCCGTGTTAATTAGCACCTGCTTTTCATCCTTGGCAAGCACAAAGGTCTAATCATGGATAATGGGATCCAACAGCTACGAATACTTTTGATGGAGATGTTTCTTCTTAGAGTAGGGTCCATTGGGCGGCTCTGTTGTCCCTCCTTCGACTACTATGGGCTATGACTCAAACCGCTGAAACTCATGTGTTTTTATTTATTTTTTTTTTTGAGTTTAATTAGACCATTTAATATTTAAAAATTATTGAGTCACTTATTAATCTAAATTCAGGTTAATCTAAATTCAAGTTAGGGAGGACTCAACAAATAACAAAAATTTTTTTCATAAGTTTTAATAAAATTATATTTTTAAAATTTAAAACTAAAACTTCTAATTAAGTTAAAAAAAATTTTTATCAACTCATTACTCAATCGTAAATGAAAGTCACGTCCTTTATAATTTATCCACGTGAGTTATGATTACTTTTGCAATCGATTAGTCAGCTATCCGTTACTCAAACCAAACCCCTTCACAAATTTTATAACTCATCTTTGAATTCAAATTCAAACTTCTCAAAACTTTATGTTATTCAAAAAAAAGAAAAAAAAAAGGGGGAAACAGAGTGGAATTTCGTGACCTTAGTAGTTTATGCTTCAAGCTTTAAGAGTTGATAGGTGTACTGGTAAACCAGTGCTGAGTAAGATGCACCTAACGAGG